GTATATACACACATGTTACAAGCAAAATGACATTATGTTTATGCATTATTTTTTTAAAACTATTGACTATGTTTTGAAATATTTTTCATACTTTTCCCCAGTTTTATTGAGATATCATTGATCATGTTCTTAACTACAAATTTTTTTATAGCTTTGCATTTAATGACTACCTTATTTTTCCCAACATCTTTGTGAAATTCGTGCTGTTGCATGTAGCAGGTACTTTTTCTTTTGCTGTATATTCCATTATAGGATGTTGCACAGATTAGTTATCTGCTAGTTTGTTGTTGGAAATTTAGGTTATTTCTAATTTTTCTTTTAGAGATACTGCTGCTATGAACATTATTGTACATGTGTTTTGTGGACATAAGCATTCGTTTTTGCTGTGGAGATACATAGGAGAAGGACTGCTGGGTTATGTAATATATTTATGTTCAGTTTTGTAGACACTGATGATCAGATTTGCAGTGTGTAATGCTTTCACAGCCACTGCATGAGAGTTTTAATAATTAAGTGTAATATTGCAGTCTTTATGATAACCACTAAGAAAGTAATGCATGACACTATAAATTAATGAGGAAAACTAGAGTAATGAGATACTTAATTAATACATCAGGAGGTAAGAATGGTGGGACAAAAGAGCAAAGAAACAGAGGGGACACATAAAAGCAAACATTGATGTATTCAACATTATTTGTAATTAAATTTAATGAAAGTAGATGAAGTCCAATAAAAAGAAAATTGTGCTCAGGCATGATGAAAAGAACAAAATCAACCATATGCTTTTAGCAGCTGACACACATGAACTATACTGACACAGAAAACTTGAAATACCAAAGAGCTATAATGCAAATACTAAGGGAAAGTTGGTGTCTCTATATGAAGATCAGAAAAAAACTTATGAGAGATAACAGGGGGACATTCCACAATGATAAAAGTTGAAACCTAGAAAGGAGATATAGTAACCATGAATTTATATATACTTAATAGTAGCTTCAGGATAAACAAACCAAAGATTAACAAAAGTAAAAACATGAACTGACAAGGCCACAGTCATTGGCTGAAGCTTTCAGTATACCTTTCAG